CTTGGATTACATTGCGGGTGTGGAGGGAATCCACTGGCGGCTTCAGGTAGGTGGAAGCATGAGCAGCATACGGCATGCAGGAGGGCGGGAGAGGGTGCAAGGTCTGGGGTTTGCTTTTATCCTGCTGCTACTAACAGATTAGCCTGTTAGTGTTTCATGGATCCTGGGAGAAGACATGAGATTCCTGGGTCAGGTGTGTTGTAAAGTGGGTATGATCTCACTGCTTTTTGTCCACAAAGCCTGAGCTCAGAGCGAGCTTTTCGGAGTTTGAAACCTTAGAAGCTGAGCCTCAGTCAACAAATAGGAATGAGATTCTTGGAACAGATTCCAGGGCACAGCGTGTCAGAAGGCTCTTGCCCTCTCTCAGCCTGCGTGTCCTACCTGTAAAATAGGAAGAACATTGCTTCCCAGGCATATTGTGGGGGGCCTTGTAAATAGAAATGGAATCTGAAGACCCTGTGTTGCTTCTCTGCATTCATAAGAGAAATCAAATTCTTCCTAGTAATACATCCTTCTAGGTTTTTTATTATCCCTTTCTTCACTGAGAAGCTGTTAATGTTTGCTCTGTAGCTCTAGTGCACAACACACACACTCAGACATGCTTGCAAAATCTGCCTGCCAGTGTCTTCCTGGATAAAGGGTAGTGGTCACTCAGGGGAGAAGGAAAGAGAAGAAGGTGAAAGGAGTTAGAACCCCATAGGGGTAAGAGAAAATAGATAGGGTGGCCTCTCTTCTTTGTTTCTGATACAGAGTCTTGCTCTGTCACTCAGCCTGGAGTGTAGTGACGTGATTTTGGCTCACTGCAACCTCTGCCTCCCGGGTTCCAGTGTTTCTTCTGCCTCAGCCTCCTGAGTATCTTGGACTACAGGTGTGTGCCACCACACCTGGCTAACTTTTTATATTTTTCGTAGTGACAGTGTTTCACCATATTGGCCAGGCTGGGCTTGAACTCCTGACCTTATGATCCTCCCACCTGGTCCTCCCAAAGTGCTGGGATTATAGGTGTGAGCCGCCTTGCCCAACCAGGGTGGCCTCTCTTTCGATCACGTTCCTCCCACCCCATGCTGTACATCTGAAGGTAGCTAAGGCTTACACACAGTGTCCCCCATATGCGAACTCATGTGCACCCTCCACCCACCCCAGGATGCTCAAAGACAAGGATGTGCACTTGTTGTGGTTGAGGAAGGTTTTGTGAAGTCAGCCAGCTGGCCAAGCATGCGAGCTGGAATTGAGATGGAGGCCGCTAGCCAGTGCTGGGCACATCCTGCCATCCCCATCCCTAGACCTCCTGCCCTTCTATCTTCGTTTCTCTCCAAGACCCAAGGAGTACAGCCGGCTTTGGCAAGGCCCACCTCCTGTCACTGGATTGTGGGAGGAGATAAAATGACACTTGTGTGTTTTAAAGTTGAGCAGAACAAGATGTTTTTAAAATGCTGTGTTCTCTATGTGGGAGGCCTTCTAATGCGCAGCTGGAGACAAAGTGTCCGGTCCTCCCACCTCTGGGAGGTCCCAGAAAGAACTGCAGAGTGGGATGGGAGGCACACGTTCAGTGCTGGGGGCCCACCTGGTGGCCAGCTCAGACAGAGCTGGGACAGAGGGCCCCTGCCTCCAACATCTCTGGCCATGAGGTGTTTGACATTCCCAGCAGTCATTCGGCACAGCTCAGTTGACTCTCCTGCCAGAGTCGCCTCCTCATTGGACAGAGGGTGAGAAGCACTTGTGATCACTTTGTGGGGAGGGTGGGGTTGTAGGACTGAGTGGAGAACTCTGCCTGCAGCATGGACACTTCCCCAGGTGGGGCATGGTCTCCATCCAGAGAGACCAGCTGAGGCCAAGAGGTAGATTCTTAGCAGGAAGAGCTGGGCCTCTGGAGCTGGGCTGCTTGGATCACCTTTTGTTCTGTTCTGTTCTCTTCTCTTCTGTTCTGTTCTGTTCTGTTCTGTTCTGTTCTGTTCTGTTGTTTGGTTCCATTCTGTTCTATTTATTTTATTTTTCTGAGACAGAGTTTTGCTCTGTCAGCCAGGCTGGAGTGCCATGGTGCCGTCTTGGCTCAGTGCAGCCTTCACCTCCCAGGTTCAAGCAATTCTCATGTCTCAGCCTCCCAAGTAGCTGGGACTACAGGCACATGCCACTACATCCAGATAATTTTTATACTTTTAGTAGAGACACGGTTTCACCATGTTGGCCAGGCTGGTCTCGAACTTCTGACCTCAAGTGATCCACCCGCCTTGACTTCCCAAAGTGAAGGATTATAGGCGTGAGCCACTGCACCTAGCCCCATTTCTTCACTTTGAAAGGGAATGTATCACCCCTTGGTAAAGCTGTTGAGGTCAACCAAGCAACCTTAGAGAAGTGCCAACTCGGTGTCTGGCACAGAGTTGGTGCACTTTAGGGACAGGACCCAGTGCTTTCTTCCCCAGCCATCTTCAGGACTCACCAGCTGTGGGTGCACATGGGGAGGCATCAATACTAGTTATTTCACTCTCTCCGTGGTCCACGCCTCCTGCCCCCCAGGGACAGGCTCCGGGAATGCCTCCTGGTCAGAACTGGCCCCCATTCTCCTACCTGCTTGCTGGGCCTCTGCTGGCCCAAGCTGCCCAGTGTCCCTTCTTATCTTCTGTCCTGAGTCTTATCAGGGCTGCCAGGCCTCGGCTGCTCTGAACGTGCCCTGGCCCCATGGTGCTGACCTTGCCCATCTGCTCTGGCCGCCCACGCTCTTGGTCCTCCCCGTGGACAGCTTGGCAGTCCCTTGTCAAGAGTGCAAGGTCTCCCTCCTTTCCTGAGTGCTGGGCCCTTTATGATGAGAGCTACCCTTCCTCTCCTCTGGTGCCCAGAGGTGGGGGTGTGGCTGGGCCTGGGCCAGGGCAGTTTAATCCTGTGACCCCAGTGGACACCGTGACACCCCTCCAAACTTCGGTGTCTGGGGATGGTTCATGCCAAACGCCTGCTGTTGCCTGATGCTCCCACCCACCCAAGAGCCCTGGAGGGTGCTGCACACCTCGCCATTGTAGCAGCTGGGTTGAGAATGCGATCTTAATCCCTATTGTGGATGCCGCTAGAGCTTACCCCTCACCTCCTTCAGGCACCTCCTGGATGCCCCTGAAAATCGTTAGCGTTCAAATATTTCCATGAAGTCAGGGACTAGGGAGAAAGGTGCCTATTTAAGCCACATGTCCGACTTTGTGAATCTCAGTTCGAGAGCGGCTGCACCTCTAGTCTTTCCTTTCTGCTGAGGGTTTTAGAACCAGTGACAGACACCTGAGGGCAAGTGAAAGGGGCATTAGGAGCTCTGAATTGTCTCTTCTTTATCAGACTTCAGCACCAACCAGAGTGGGGGGGAACCCTTTCTTCTGGGACAGTGTGAGCCTGGGCGCGTGTATAATGCAACCCCTTGAGTTCCCGGTCACATTACAAGCTTCTAATGTCATCTGGATGTCCTCGAACTCCAAATTTAGCACTCCTCCATCCACACACGTAAGAAGATTTGTGGATTTACATTCTTTCTGTGAGGCTGTGAATATGAAAACATACTCGCCTCCTTCTCATGTGACCCTAATCCTGTTAATCGTGCTGCTCTGGGGCACTTCTCCACACTACCTTCTCTGAGCCACTATTTGTGCTTCAGGGGAATCTTTTTTTCCCCAAGTCCCCAGCAAAGGAACAAGCAAGAGGCACTAAGCTGCAAAGAGGGAGATTTGCAAGCACATCGAAGGGCTCTCCCAGCCCGCTGGCCCTCCTGGGCTGTGGGGGAAATGGGCAGGAATCCATGCAGAAAGGAGGAAGGGCACAGAGACTCCCAAGGAAACGGGCTTCCCAAGTCACCTTTGTGGAGTCTGGGCCACTCTCTAGACTCCCACAGGGTGTCCTGCGGCCCCTCTCCAGTCCAGCTGCCATGTGCCAGTTGCTGTCACTACTGTCTGCTGCTCACAAGCCAGCCGGGCTCCCCCTTGCCTTCAGTCCCCAAGTCCACGTTCCTCAGGACTGCCACGATGCAGCTCCACCCGCAGCAGCCACTCTGAAGGGCACCCCGTTTTCGATAACCATACCACTGCCGCCATCATCACCACCATGTGCGTTTTGGGCACAGGCCTGGTTTACCCTCCCCCTCCGCCCTCCTCCCTCAGTGCTAAGCCCCCTGTCTCCACCGCCACCTGCTTCACACAGCCTCCCTCTCCCTTTGGTTGTCATTTACCTGCCTCTTGTGGATCACGAAGGCGCTTGGCGTCATGTCCTGGGAGGTACTGGTTCCTCGTGAGCAGATTTATGCGTGTGAACTGCCCTGGCCTGGGTCCTGGAGCTGGCCTAGTCTATGGCTTCACTATCTAGCCATGAAGATATGCACACCGCCAGCTGTGTTCTTGAAGCATTGCAGGCATGCTCGCGTACCTGGGTGAGAGGAATGGCAGTGGAGCCTGGAAGAGCAGGCTCAGGAAATCAGCCCTCACCCTCCCTAGCCACGTGACCCGGAGTAAGCTACTGGCGCCCAAGGGCCTCAGCATCCCCATCTGTAAAATGGGATTATGGTGTCATAGGACAGCTCATAGGACCTGGAGCTGCCCATTTCCCACTCTAGCTAGCCTCTAAAAAGCTGCAGTAGCCTCTCAGAGCCCAACTTCCTTCTGCGCCGGAAGAGCAGATGCCTGCCTGAGGAGCCACTGGGCACTCTAGCCAGGCAACCACACAAAGGAAATGTGTTAGATATGCATGGGTCAGGCGTGCACAGATAAGGTGGGGATGTGGCAGAGATGGGGAGGAGAAGCAGACCAGAGGCCACTAGATCTAGCTAGATATTTCATGGGCTTTTGTCTGCAGGATTATAAAACAATGAGGATTCTTTGATATTTAAGCCCAGCAGGAGTCAGAGAACAACAGGCAAGGACAGAGCAGATCAAACCCCAAGAGGGGCTCAGGAGTGGGTGGTGGTCAAACCACAGGCACTGATTGGAGCAGCCATGGGCGGGCTAAAGGGACCTTGCCCTCTGGCTCTGCTGGTGTTGATTACATTTCTATGGGAGGGGCTGGTGCTGTCATCAGGGAGCCTGGGGGACAGGCTGCTTGGGGTGTCCCCCTGATGGCACCTGGAATGTGTGGAGCTTGGCTGAGAGGTGCAAGGGAGCTCCTGGTGCCACCTCTGCCAAAGACGCTATCGTCTCGAGCCTGACAACGAAGCATCCCAATGGGTGAGTGCCTCAGCGGAGTTGGAGCAGAGTTTGGGAGGATTCCAGCGAGAGCAGCTACCCAAGGTGGAGCGGAGGCCAGGGCTCGGGGCGTCCAGCTGCCCCACACGCTTCTCGTAAATCCTCTGAGGCGGCCAGCGCCTGCTCCGGGAGCAGCTTGGGTGGTCTCTGGTGTTGCGGGGGGAGGCTGGGCTTTCCGTGGGGCACAGCTCCTGGGCACTCATTGCTTAGATCACACTGTCGGCTGTGCCCCTTGGAGTTAGGTCTGTGGGGTCACCTGGACTGGTCATAGTACTGGCGGGATGCAGATGGTGCATTCAGAGTGGGCGGTGGCGGGGAGCTGAGTTCAAAGGTGATTCACAAGGTGGTGGTGTAGCGTGGGAAACCCCAAGTGTGGTGCAGTCCCTGGGGCTGGAAATGATGGGGGTGTTTCCAAACCTAGGGCTGAGGGGGACAAGAGGACAGAGACTTCCTGAGACCCCACGACACAGCAAGTATGTGGATGGGGCCATCTGACAGCAACAAGAGGCCTCCAGCCCTTGGCTGTCCCGCAGGGAGGGCACCATGGCAGTCACTGCCTGTCCTGAGTCCCCTCTCTCCCTCTGGCCTTCCTCCAGGGCTTCCCGTGGCTCCCAGGAGGTTGTCCAGAGCTTATTGGGCCACTAGACCTTGCCTGGCCCGTCCCTGCCGGGCAGCGCCACTGCAATCTTTTACTCCACTTGACGTTCTTTCTTTCGGTTCCTTGGACTGACCTTCCGTCCACACAGGCCTTTGCACCTGTAGCTTCCCCTGCTGGGGAGGCTCCCACACCCCCTCACCCCTCACCCGTCCACCCTGTGGACCCTGGGCCACTACCGCTTCCCCCAGACACCCACCAGCCCCTCCCATGCAAGGAGGCTGTCTTGCCAGGCAGGGCTCTCCGGAGGAGCAGAGCCTATCCCATATTTGTGTTTGTATATTAAGAGATTCAACTTTCAGAACTGGCTCAGGCAGCTGTGGGGGCTGCCAAGTTCAAAATCTGGTGGGCAACTCAGAAGGCTGGAAACCCAGGCAGAACTTTGTTTCTCTGTTTCAATCTTTTTTTTTTTTTTTTTTTTTTTTTTTGAGACGGAGTTTCGCTCTTGTTACCCAGGCTGGAGTGCAATGGCGCGATCTCGGCTCACCGCAACCTCCGCCTCCTGGGTTCAGGCAATTCTCCTGCCTCAGCCTCCTGAGTAGCTGGGATTACAGGCACGCGCCACCATGCCCAGCTAATTTTTTGTATTTTTAGTAGAGACGGGGTTTCACCATGTTGACCAGGTTGGTCTCGATCTCTCGACCTCGTGATCCACCCGCCTCGGCCTCCCAAAGTGCTGGGATTAACAGGCTTGAGCCACCGCGCCCGGCCATCTGTTTCAATCTTGAGGCAGAATTTCTTCTTTTCCAGGGAACCTCAGTTTTTGCTTTTAAGGCCTTCAACTGATTGGATGAGGTCCACCTGCAGTCATCTCCTTTACTGAACGTTCCCTGATGGCAGCACTTCACCACGTGTGCCCATTACCCTCCCCGAAACACCTAGACAAGTGTCTGACCAAAGTGCTGGACACCATGGCCTAGCCAAGCTGGCTCATTACATTTATGTATTTACTTAGAGATAAGTCTCACTACCCCAGGCTGGAGTACGATCATGGCTCACTGCAGCCTTGAATTCCTGGGCTCAAGTGATCCTCCTGCCTCGGCATCCACGTAGCTGGGATTACAGGTATGAGTCACATGCCTGTGATGACACATTAAATCCAACCATCACAGCTGGTCTTTTGTGTGATTCCTTAATAATCTCAGTCTCTGTCCCACACTGTGATGTCAGGTTTTCAGTGAGCAAAGATGAAGATCATTCTGCTTTCTCTTTCTCTCTCTCTCTCTCTTTTTTTTTTTTTTTTTGAGAGGGTATCTTGCTCTGTCGCCTAGACTAGAGTGCAGTGGTGTGACCTCTGCCTCCCTGGTTCAAGCAATCCTCCTGCCTCAGCCTCCCGAGTGGCTGGGACTACGTTATGGGCACCTGCCACCATGCCCAGCTAATTTGTTTGTATTTTTAGAGACAGGGTTTCACCATGTTGGCCAGGCTGGTCTCGAACTCCTGACCTCAAGTGATCCACCCGCCTTGGCCTCCCAAAGTGCTGCAATTACAGGCATGAGCCACCGAACCCCACCATTCTACGTTGTTTAACCATTGTTTTGTCCAGCACTGGACAGTGACTGCTAGATGGCAGGTGCCCGGTGAGTAGCTGTCACATGAAGGAATGAAAGCAAGAGAGAGAATCCACAAATGACGTGGCAGTGTCCAGGTCAGAGATGCTGCCAAGACAAAGTGAGTTGCTGTATGTAAAGTGTCTGCATGGAGTAGGCGTGAAACTCACGCATGCCATTTCATCTTCATTTTCAACGCCGCCTTCTGCTATCCACACGCACACACGTGCAGTGATGAATTTCTCAGCGGAATGATGATTCCCATAGGTAGCATTTTCCTAATATTAATATTAATGTTGAATATTCTTTTGTGAGGGTGAGGAATTGTTCTAAGTACTTCATATATATCTAAACCCATAGCATTGATTCCAATGTGTGTTAAATATTCAAGATTATTAGTAACATGATTGTATGGCACAGTGGCTCATGCCTGTAATCCCAGCACTTTGGGAGGCCGAGGTGGGGAGATCACAAGATCGGGAGTTCAAGACCAGCCTGGCCAACAGAGTAAAAGCCTGTCTCTACTGAAAATACAAAAATTAGCCGGACGTGGTGGCGCGTGCCTGTAGTCCCAGCTACTTGGGAGCCTGAGGCAGGAGAATCGCTTGAACCTGGGAGGCAGAGGTTGTGGTGAGCCAAGATTATACCACTGCACTCCAGCCCGGGCAACAGGCTCGGGAAACAAAGTAAGTGACTTCCAGGACGAACCAACTCTCCACTGATTTGTTCACTTAGCTGAGTCTAGGTGAGCAGGGCTGGTATCATTGTCCCATTTACAAATGATGAGCTCACTGGCCCAGGCTCCTGAGGTGGCCAAAGTCACCCTGTGCTCCATGGCTGCTGTCCTGGGGCGGGGGCGGGGGGTGTTCCCTTCTCTCCTGGGAGGCACAGGGAGTCTCAGCACAGCACAGTTGCTGGCTGGCTTCATTCAGCAGTTTTTAATTGATAGAAGTTTTTAACCGATAGAAGGAAAGAAACCTCCCCCCAGTCCTGCCACGGACAGGGAGCTCGTTGTCACCTGTTTACCTTGCAGGGGCCAGGGTCTCCTCTCAGGTCCCGCCTCACTGTGGCCCTTCTTCTCTTGGACGATGTTCTCTGGTGGGAAATGGGGCTGGCTGCCCTCACGGCTGATCCTTCCTGACCTGGGGGAGGAGAGTGGCGTCGAGTGGGTCCAGGTCTGGCTCGGCCATGAGAGCACAGCTGCCAGCTTCAGGGTGACTCAGAGCGGGTGGAGCTGAGCCGGAAGGAGCCGACCAGGGAGAAAACAAAACATAAGAAAGGAGGGCTCAGGCTTGCCCCTGCCGGGCCCTGAGCTGCGCCATTCGCAAACCCCGCCCAGCGCTCACGCTGCCACCATGGAGTGGGGATGGGCCAGCCCCTCTTCCACAGCTCAAGTGCCCAGGAGGCCCAGGACAGGGACAGACCTCAGCCTGGCGCCATCCACTTCACACCAGTAGTTGTTTGAAGTCGAGATTCTGCATTGGCCAGAATCCCAACTTCACAACTTCTGGCTGAGGGCTTTGGGTAGTTGGCTTGACCACTAAAGGCCTGTGTCCCGGCTCTGAAAGATGGAGTAATACCCAATACCCTCATCAGGAGCTTGTTGTGGGCCCAGCCAATGTGCCCCGGTGTTGTGCTTAGCACAGGGTGCAGCAAAGAGACAGGTGATGGTAGGTGTCCTCAGTGTTGATACATCACTGCTTTATGCAGTCACCTCAAGCAAGGACGGTTTTCAGCCCCTGCTTTATAGTTGATAAACTTGAAGCTCAGCGGCTCATATAACTTCCCAGGGCTCACAGCAAATAGCTCCCCACCCCTTGTGGCAGCAACTAAACCAAGTCCTGACCTCCTCTCCTCCCCAAAGTTCTACCCTCTCTCTGTTCAGTTGCAGCCCATGACACCTCCTAAGATCCTTCCCTGGGAATGGGAGGAATACCCACTCCAGGGCAGCCACCCTGTAGAACAGAGCAGGTTCCGTCTAAGGAGCCAGGTGTGCCTTTGGTTTTGGGCTCTGGTTTTCTTTAGCTCTGGTGGACTTTTGCTGTGTATCCTGGGACAAGTCACTTCCCATTTCTGAGCCCAGCTTGCACATCTGTGGAATGAAGTGAAGCGGCAGCTTGAAGCAGAAGGATTTGAGGCAGGGATCCGGGTACTTGTGAAGCTCCTGGAAGGGCAGGGAGAATGGCACTATCCAGGAGATAATACCCTGCAGGTAATGCCCTCCGGGGTTTGGGCTACAATGCTTCAGGTTGAGGCCCACAGGCCATAGAGCTTCAGAAAGTCAGGGCAGAATCTGCAGTGGCCCTCAGCCTGGAGGTGGAAGGAGGCTGGTTCTGGAGTCCAGGTTCTGGGGCAGCCACACAGCAGCTTCTACCGCTCTGGGAGGTAGGAAGGCTTCTACCTCGCCCACCTGCCATCCCAACTATCACTGGTCAGATCTCTACCATTTCCAGAGCACTATGAACAGCGATGCTGGGAAATGCAGTTCCTAGGCTTCCAGCCCCTGCAGTACAGGGGAAGCACACAGCAGTGTGGGATCAAACCCTCACTCCTATAGACGGTGGCCAGAATAGGAACCCCTGCTAGCAGCAAGAAACAGGATGCCCTGAGCCCTGGAAGGCAGGCAGGGTAGATGCAACTCTGAATAGGGTTTTTGAGACATGTGGATTGCCGATACCACTCTAGCTTCTAGCCTCATTCATTGATCATAGGTGCAAGTTCGTTGAGTTCTCCTTAAATGTTTCTGAACAGTCTCCCATCACAATTCCTAGTATGTG